AACCCAATTAAATTTAATCCTCACAAGTTTGCGCGTTATGAGTTATGAGTAGGAAGGACATACAGACGCAGAACATTTGTTCCGTATATGATGAAACAATGTAAGATTGGCTCAACATTTTAAAATGTACTTCTGGTAAAGCGTGGTTCAAAATTGGAATAAAGTGGACTGTAATAGGTAGTTGGAATTGGATTTCGTTGAAATTTGCAACCGACACATAAAACTGAAGGTACGCACCTGGAGAATGCCGTCAGCTTCCTTTCTTACTTGAGGTTGACATTCGCGTGGTACACTCCTAGTTTTCTTGCGCGATTTACACCTATTTTATACAATTCACGGCCGTGATTTTAAGCGTATGATAATTAAACAGATATGCGAGTCGCGAGCGTGACACAATATGCTTCCGCGTGCGGGCGTGTTCTTACTTAGACCTCTCCTTCTACACGATTGTCGGTCGCAAGAAGGAATTAGTGGAATAAATGAAGGTATTATAGAGGAAATCTGATTCGTCGATAAGATTGACCAAAACGCGAAATATTTTAATTTGAGAAATGGCGGTAACAACTTCTTTAAATTTTATGTTACACTTTACTTGTCACATGTGAACTAAAGGGTGAGAGCCAGAAAGAACGAGGCACACATTTCAATAGCACGTCGTTTTAATCGACGGACATTTACGTGAACGAGAGAGATACCATTACTGTTATAAAAAAAAATTATATTTTATAATGTAATTAATTTAAGTAAAACATTATTTATGTTAATACGGAATAACCGTATTAACTTAAATAATGTTTTACAAACACATTAACAAACAATATCTGGTTTTTGGGCTCGTATATACCTATTACATAAAGGATAAATTTCTTTCCTAGGACAAGTATAGTTTTATCTTTCAATTGTTTGTCGGTATAGAACTAATAATGTTACTTAAGTAGTTTCATATATTTTGTTGGTGTAATTAGGTACTTAATTTAGGTAGGCATTAAATTGGTTTTCATGGTTACATGGCTATGATAGAATTTTTAATACTATTGGCAATATTGTGTCTCATTCTGTAATACCAATAATTAGTGATGAAGCTTGCTTATTTTGACAATTTCTTATCTGTTACAATATAGGAATCAATTGTTCTCTAGAAAAATTCGGGAGAAAATTGTGGATTGTGATATAACAAAATGGGTTGATTTTTCACTGTTTAGTCCGACTCTTATATATCGTTACAGCCTATTAAAGTTCACTGCTGAACACAGGCCTCCCCTAGAGATTGCCTCATAGTGGTATTTTCTACTCATTTTCATTTTCGCTCTATTGTGTAATGTCAGAATTTGTTTTAATAGGCACGTTTAATAAATCACAATGCTGCGTTAGAACCTACTTTAATTTATGGTAATAAGAGTTGCGTGTGGCATAAGACTGACTCGGAATGATAGAGTGTAAATTGTGTGATAAGAAAAAATTGTAGTTTACAAGATGATGCTGTAACCAGAATTAAGAAAAGAATGTTTTTGAAGTTTACACACGTAGAATTGTTGAATGAGGAAAGAGTGGCAAAGCATGTTTATGCAAATTGTGTCAAAGTGAGCAAGGGACTCCATTTACAAATGTTTAGCAACCGCTTTGGTCAGTATTAACCGACGAAGATGAATGCGTAGATATAAAGGATGTGATGTATCTGATGAAGTGATATATGTAGATGTATATCTAGGATGTGAAAGAAGCCAGAGAGGTGTATGTTAGGGTACGTATACACGAGCCACACAAGACATCCACAAAATCCGCCACCTGAAGTTAGAAGCAGCTACAAAGGTAGCTGAAGTTTGCGACAGCCACTTGTGGTCAGTGGTAGATACTTGCGGTCAGTTTCCGCTACTTTTTTTAACACATTGCTTGCAGTATCATATATAGAATGTGTTGACTGAAACGAAGGGAGAGAGGGATGGGGTACCGCGCGAGTGGCATGTGTCAACGTTTTGTGTCAGTGTTTAGTGGCCGTCCACAAGAAGCGAGCAGCGACAATTTGTAGATTGTTTCGACCACAAGGCTCAACCGTGTGCGGCGAGTCCATATAAAATGTACGAAAACTACAGGAAATACGTTAGTGGCAGCAAACACGGTCGGTGGCGCGTGTGTGGCCAGGCTTAGGATCGTGACATCGTACTGTAGTTTATAATAATCCCTGCCTACCCTTCGGGGTGACATACATGAGAGTTTATGTTATTTTTTATTTGTTATGGTCTGCTTTTAGTGTGTAACATATAAAACTGGAAAAAGGTGATACTGTCTCGATCACCAAAGGTTCTGTACAATAACATAAAAATGTTAGTTGAGTAAATATGCTCTATGACTATAAAAAGAAGGAAGCTGGTAGAGAGTTAACAATTACTGTAATTTATAAATATGTATATAAAATTTTTAGTATATCGAATTATTTAAAGTCATTAAGATTTCAAATCTTAAAGAAATGCAAGGAACGATATTTCATTTGCCAATAACAATACGATATATTGGGTACATAAGTCAAAACATGTAAACAACTAATACCTGGAAAAGTTATTTTGAAAGTCTCAATCAATTTCTTTTAAATTGTATATATTTCATTACAAATTGTATATATTCAGCTTTTACCAATTATGGAGAAATTAGTCATCAGAGGTACCCAACTCCAATTAGACAATCACACTCAGTGCGATTGTGTAATTATAACGTACAACGCGTAATAAATATAAAGTATAACGCGTGGAATTCCCATGGCAGTGTTCTGGGCCCTACCCTCTTTTTATGCTGTATTAATAACCTCTGTAAAATCAATATTCTTAATTGTATGATTATGTACTCTGCTGATGACAACGCACATACCTTTTACGGTCAATCTCGGGAAGAAGTTTATTCTGTTGCACAAACTGGTCTTAATACTGTCCAATAATGGCTTGCTACACATTACCTATCTTTAAATGCAACCAATACTAAATAGAAAGAAAGAAAGAAAGAAAACTTTATTTGACATCACAAAGAAAAAAATAAATAAAATAACACGAGATATAAAAAACAGGATATGTGTAAAGTCAAATTAGGTCCCTATTTCAGCTAACAGCTGCTGAACTAGATGACAGCAGAGCTGGTTTTCAAATAGAGCCTAATATTGACTTCACGGACGGTCATACATTACCTAAAGCTAAAACTAATTAAAATTAGATAAAAATATTCAGTGTGGGGACAGAATCAGCATAATAAGAGTTATTATTTGGAAATAATAATACATTGTTTAAGCAATCATAAACATACGATTACATATGAACCCATATATATCTATACATCCATACACACTTATATGTACACATACATGATCAAGTGCTCAATAGCTCAACAACATGAAATATATCGTCTAATCTTAATAAAATAAACATTTGAATTTAATTGAAGACTAAGAAGATTTAACAACACCATCAACGAAAAGAAACGAAAACAGAAAGTGATCTGAAAATTAGTGTGGAGATAAAAAAATAAATAAATACAGTGAATTTTACAGTCATCATATCTTTTTAGTATTAAATGGAGGCCCTTTAAATTGTATACGTAAAAAAAAAGTAAATTTTTATTTATTATTTGTGATTACAGTCTTGTTTTAAAATTAATATCAGTTTTTTTTTAAATATTCCTATAGTTTTTAGAGCACGTATTGGTGGCGGCAGATCGTTCCAGCAACGAGAAGCTGCATACCTGAAGGACCCTCTAAATGCCATTGTTCTATGTTTCGGAATAACAAAGACCTTAGTACATTTACGTTTAGGATATTTTGATTGTTCGCTAACCCACACTAATTTGTCATATAAGTACCGAGGAGATTTTAATGCAATTATTCCAAATAATAGGGTAGCAAGGTGTAATTTTCGACGCGATGACATTTTTAATAGACCTGCATTATTTAGAAAAGGAGTAACATGCGTACGAGGTGGTATGTGGAAGCAGAACCTCGCACATGCATTCTGCACACGCTGTATGAGCCTCTGAGTCCTACTTAATAGACAAGGTCCAAATACCACGTCGCAGTAATTTAATTTGGACAAAATCAAAGACTCGCATAGTCTTATCCTCATTTGCTCTGTTAAGAATGGTCTGATTTTATATAAGATTTTTAATCTATAAAAACAGCTTCGTACACTTTCTCTGACATGTGCTTCGAAACGCAGGTGGTTATCAAGCTTAAGCCCAAGGCTTCTAGCCTCGGAGATTTGATCAATAGAACTGTTTCCAATTTTTAAATCTATTGGGACATTTACAAGTTTATCAATCATATTTTTTGATCCTATTAACATAAACTTTGACTTGTCAGGGTTTAGAACCAATGAATTTAACTTTGACCAATCAGAAATAGCGTCTAAATCGTTATTTATTTTATTAATAGCCTGAAGAAGACCTGATGGCGATGGTATAAAGGAAAGGTACATTTGTAGGTCATCAGCATATAGGTGGTAATGACAGTGTTTAATTTTCTTTACGATATCAGCAGAATATAGCGTGAAAAGAACAGGCCCAAGTATCGAGCCCTATGGAACACCTCGTGTAACATTCTGGGGGATTGATTGAATCCTAGTACCGTCACTTGTAATGATTTCCACACGTTGTTGCCTTCCAGTGAGATAACTGCCAAACCATTTGACCGCATTAGCATCAAAGCCATAGAACGACAACTTTGCCAGGAGCAATGACTGATCGATTGAATCAAACGCTCGGGAGAAGTCTAAGAGCACCAGAATTGAGCACATACCTCTATCTTGAGCTGCAAGTAGATTATCGATTACCTCAAGCAAAGCTGTAGTACTGCTATGTATATTATATTTAGGAAATGTCTATTTATCAAATCTGGGTCATTGAACTGATGAGGAAGTTCCTCAGTCTTATTCTTGAAATATACTACATCTTTCAAATTTTTCCAAAGGGTTTTGGAGTCCTTAATATTTTTATTTATGTACTGTTCAAAATACGCTTTTTTTTCATTTGTCATAGCTTCTGTTACTATCTGCTTCATGTTTTTATAACAATTTTTAAATGTGTTATTTTTTGTTTTTTTGTATTTAGCATGATAGTCGTCGCGAATTTTGATCATTTTCCGTACTGTATCCGTAATCCAAGGGTGAGGTGGTGATTTGAAACGAGTGGTTTTAAGTGGAGCATGTAGATCGAAGAGAATGCTTGTAACAGAACAAAAATAAGTAACCATGTCATTAACGTCATTAAAATTTGTACATAGTGACCAATTAATGTTCTCTAAATCACGGATAAATAATTCTGTAACAATATTATTTAGTGGTCTATATGTTAAGTAACGAGGACTAGGTTTTTCCTTTTTTATATTAAATTCAGCAGTAACAATGGCATGGCTTTCCAAATCGGGTATGTATTTGACTAGGGTATTTCGTACTCGAGCATCAGAACAGATCAAATCTATTAATGTTTCGCTGTGGCTAGTAAAATGTGTCGGAGTATCAACAACTTGTTTCAAGCTATGACATTCTAAAAATTGGTTTAGTAATATGGTCTTGTTGTTTCCACTCTCCAAAAGATTAATGTTAAAATCACCAACTAAGATAACCTTATCGGCGTTACCTAAAGTGGAGACTGATTCAGCTATCGCATCTAAAAAAATATTAACGTCTAGCCAAGGGGGTCTATATGCTGTCCCAACGATAAGGTTGACTCCTGAAAATTTCATTTTTATCCACATCTGTTCAACAGTAGGAGTAGAAGGATGCGGACAAATTTTAAATGCTAAATTTTTATGTACCTACTCCACCGCCTCTTCCTTTTTTAATTTGCTGAGGCCTAGGATTATGTCGCAAACGATATTCATCCAGTATGGGAGCTTTCCCCTCTTCCCGGCTCTAAGCCATGTCTCATTGATGGCCATAATGTCCGGCTTAAGCTCTTTCATGGCTATTATAAATTCCTCATGCTTAGAACCTAAGGAGCCTGCGTTTAACAAACCGATTTTTAAGTATTTTAAATTACCCGTTGCAAATAGTATATGAGCAGATTATTCTTTATGATAAAAACTAGTAAATAATCAGCATATGTGTTATAAATAGATACAGATGTTAAGTTCGGTAACAAACATATTAATGATGTATACATTCTACCGTGCAGTAGTATGGCGTAGTCATAATTAAAAATAAATAAATAATATACATAAAATAATGGATGTTTTATAAAGTTAATATATATAATATGATATAATGAGTAAAAATAATATTTATAATATAATGGCTGTATATATTGTTCCAAATAAAGTTTCCCCACATAGTTGAGATAAAGAAGTATATAGTACACTATCTTCCTAATATTATAATTTAGTATAAAATATATATTTAACTTTATTTCTAAATTATGATGAGACATTACTTCAAACCATATCGGAACCAAAAATACGAATAAAGTCATCCTCCGTACGAATGTAGCAGGCCGGCTTCCCTTCACCTTGGCGGGCGTATATGCGACCTCTCTTTGTCCACGAGTAACGCCACGAGAATCTACGGCACGCCTCACGGACTTTGTGGAAGAGCTGTCTGTTGTATCGGGTTAGCCGTTCGTTAACGTAAAGTCGGTGTGGCGGGGCGGTCGCGCCTAGTTCAGAGGTTGTGACGGAGCGACGCACACGCGCAGCGCGCAGCAGCTCGTCACGCAGCTGGCGACGCGCCAGCCGCACCACGACGCGGCGGCCGCGCGGCGCAACGCCACCGGGCGACCCGCCGCTCACCACCGCTTGCACCGCTCCGATGCGCTCTGCAAACACTATGTCTCGCTCCTCTAATGGCACACCTAGCCTAACCGCAAGCACGGACACTGTGTGAATGATATTTTCACCCTTTTCTTCCGGTAGATGCCCGATCTCCAGATCTGTGAGCAGCGCCTCTTGGTCCCGATCGTTGAGCTCCAGCTTCAATAAGTTCACCGTTCGCTCCAGTTCAGCAACCTCAACTCCGGTTGGTTTCTGCCTTTGCTCAATTATCTCAAGCCTACGCTCGATGCCATCCATACGCTCACTAAACCCTAATACGGACGCACGAAGTTCACCAATCTCCTTTCGGAGTTCTCGCATCTCAGCTGTGCAGGTAACGAGCTGGCGACTTAGCTCTTGTGCAATAGATTCCTCACCCGATTTGATGTCTAATGTCTGAGACAAACTGCTGCAGGGTGAGCTAATAGTGACCTCCCGGGGCACATTATCTTGTGATATGTTACCAGATATCCCTCTTACAGGAGTAGAACTATTGTCTCCTTTTCGTGATTTTTTTTTGCATTCTGGGCAAGCCCAATCTTTGCTTATATTTGTTGTTTCAGATACTAATAGACATCCACGATGAAACATAATGGGACAAACGGTACAAGCAACGGCACCTGTCGACGTTAGAAATTTACCACATGCTCCACACTTTGGCATATTGAGCTTAGTGGCTGTTAATACTATTGTGCAGAAGATGGCGCTAACTAAACTCGGCAACTAGTTGCTGACAATGCTACTATGCAATCAGAGATCCGTATAAGTGTACCCTCTTCTGGGCTTAAAATATCAGAGATCTTCTAGATTAGATTAGGTTAAAAAATAACTTACAATTTCATAGGTAACAACACCATAACACTCACACGGCAACGTTATGTACTATTTCACTCGTTTATAATATTAATATACCGAAACAAACTTTATTTCTATTTTTTCGAATTAAAAATCTAAGCAACCTCTGTTGTTCGTATACCGTCCGTGACGTCAATCCTGTGCCCTACGGGAATATATGGGAAATACATTCCCTTTTAATTAGCACACCAGCATCAAAAGGCCAAGATAACTTAAACTTATATGTTCATGATTGCTGTGTACCACCGCTTAGTTCCTCTACGTGTCGCTCTCTTGAAAAGACCACGATAATATACCACAGACTTTCTTTTGAAGACCATATAAACCACATTTCTTCCAGATTTCGTAAACCTACATACATTTTAAGCAGCTTCGTCTGAATGAATGAATGCTGATACCAACACCATAAAATTTGTTCATAATGCCTTATGTCAGTATATTATATATATAGTAAACGTGGCAGAGCCATGCTGCAGCTATATTAGTAGTATAGTTGTATCACGAATGGGTCGGCTTGACCGGGGAAGGACCACGCTCTCACAGAAAACCAGCGTAACATAGCAGCTTAACGCTGCTGTGTTTCGTATGGTGAGTATAGAGAACCGGAGACCCTTTTTACTGACAAAGAGGCATTCCATCTTAGTCCTCACGGGTGACAACGCATCTGCATCTTGATTTTTTATTGAGGATAGATGTAGATGTCTATGGGTCACAGTAGCCACTTACCATCAGGTGGACTGTGTGCTCGTTTGCCACCCTATCCTATAAAAAAATATATTATTAACTGAAGTATAACGTCTTGAAGTGGTGCAGCAAAAACCCACAGGATTTGGATAGTGCGTGCACAAAGACTCATACTTAAAATATCTTATAAACGAAATTTACAAATTCTGTGAATTGCTCGCCGTACGTTAGCTCTATATTCTTGCGACAATATTATGAAATCATTTAAAAACTGAATATAATAAATCCAATCCTATATTAAACAAAAGACTTCCTCATATTATATGCACAATACTTGCTACGCGTACCAATTTATTATTTGCTCGAAGATTTTGCAATTACAGAGGCCCAATCCAATATAATTTCGCTTACAAATTATTAAACATATATCCGTTAACTAAAAGACAGACAAAAATTTTCCTCAATGAAATGGCTTAAATCATGAGACTACGAACAGACAGAAAAACTATTTGAACGTATTGTTTAGTTGTATATTACACACCACATATATACACACACGCACGTTCTTCAAACTGAACAAGTTTATTTTAATGCTTTTTTATTACTGTAGCTGTATTAATTATTAAATATTTTATAGCAATATCACTTCTCTTGAGGGAGGAGCCTGGTGATCGCATAGCACAGGGCAACCTAGTTGGGGCACCCCACCTAGATCTTATTTAGTAATATTTATAGCTGTTATTTAGTTGTATAGTTCATTTTTCCTTAGTTTATTGTGATGTGCTGATCATAATATGTGAGAGAAAATAAATAACAATTTATTATTTATTTATTACAATAGAAAAGTCTGAAACTTTTACCAGGAATAAGTGCCGGATAATAACGTTGACAACTAAGTTAAATAAAAAGTAACTCTCTTTTAACTTTTGGTAAGTTTCGTTGTCGTCTATATAAACATGTTGTTTTCTTCAGTGTCAAAATTATCAAAAAAGAAAAGCTCATGGAATCAACTCGACTTTGCCAGTCTGTCATAGATGGTTTGAGAGACTATTAATTTCCCAAAGTTAGTTGTAGCTTATCGTAATATTATATTATGGATTGGCCTAAATACAGGTATAAATTTAAAATTTACAGGGACTTTCAAAGTAACAGGTTAGTTTTGTAGGTAAATATTTAGAGTAATTAAAGCGGTATATTAAACAACAGAATCTCTTTGAAACAGTCTTAAACGATATTTTATACATAGTAGATTGATGCTACAGCTATATTACCATTGTTTATTTATTTATTTAAAAACTTTATTGCGTCCCTTTAGAAAAAAAAGGATACAAAGGGCGGACATAATGCCTAAAGGAATTCTCTACCAGTCAACCCATGGAGTCGTGAGAGTTTTTCGTAGGTGTAGCAATTAAAAGAAAAGAAAAAAAATTGAAACTAAAGTTGTAGGACGAATGGTTTGGCTTGACCGGGTAAGGACCTCGCTCCCACGGAATACCAATTTAAAATTGTAGCTTAATACTGCCGTGTTTCCTATGGTAAGTGCAGAGAACCTAAAACCATTTTTACTTGAAACGAGGCACTCTATCTTAGCCCACAGGAGTGACAACGCATTTGCAATTTTATTCTTAATCAAGCATAGATGTAGATTTCTATGGACCACAGTATCAGGTGGACTGTGAGCTCGTTTGTCACACTTATTCTATAAAAATATCTTTTAAAATGTTGAATGCATTTTTTATCTCAGAATTAAGGACCATTCCCCTTTCAACATGGAGGACCGCTTATTTATCCATCCCCAGCTCCATTCTAATAGAATTACTAAAATCACAAGTGATGTTTAGCAATCACATAAGATTCGATTGGAGTGGGCTAGAGGCGAATAACTTGAGATCATCCATATAAACAGAAACAGATTTTTTTTATTTAATATAGATTATAAATAATACTTATTGAACGTCACTCTTCTCTTTAATTACCACTGGTTTTAAGAAAAACTTGTGTCCTGGGAAGAAACATGATTAATGTTTTATGGTGAACACAATTGAAGGCCTTGGCTAGGTCACAGAATATACCCAAAGGGTTGTACAGGATTGTGAATTCTCCAATGCATTAAAGATATATTTAAGCAGCTGTTGCGAATACCGGCATCAGTTGTCGAGCTACCCCTTGTGAAACCAAATTGATTTTATGAAGTAAATTATTTATATTAAGAAAAATTAACATTTGATCAAGAATATTTTTTTCAACAATCTTACTAAGTGTTGGTAATACAGATATACGAGTAGGTCTAAAATTGGCGCGGACTAATGTACTACCAGATTTAAATAAATTACTTAACTATGCTTCATTAAATCAGGAAACACACCAGATTCAATACTAGTATTAAAAATAATAGCTAGATGATGCGCGATTGTATCTAATAGACGCAATAACTTTAACTGAAATCCCCCACAGATATGCAGTTTTCTTAATATCAATAGTTTTAAAATATTGTACAATATCTTTTAATGATACTTTTTGAAATATAAAATTCTTTGTACACGCATTTACGTATTGTTTGAGTAATAAGTCGGCGACAGAATATCAGTAAAATATTTCTCAAAAAACATTGCAACGTCCTGAACTGATTCTGTTAATTTGTTGTTAAAAGTTTACTGGTAGTTTGAATTGCGAGAGTTGATCTTACCAGTTTTGCTGTTATTAGAAACCGTATTAATTTTGTTGCCCAAATGCAAAGACTTGGCTGCTAAGCGCAATCTTTTAAATAATTTAGAATTTTTCTGTGGCCCATAGACATCTACAACTAAACTCGTTTTCGAATCAAAATGCAGATGCGTTGTCACTCGTGAGGACTAAGATGGAATGCCTCTTATCCAGTAAAAAGGGTCTCCGGTTTCCTACACTCACCATAGGAAATACAGCAGTGTTAAGCTGCTATTTTACACTGGTATTCTGAGAGCGTGGCCCTTCCGCGGTCGAGCCGACCCATTCGTGCTACAACTATACTACTAATGTAGCTGCAGCATAGCTGTACCTCGTATAAAATTTAAAAATTAAATAGCCTTTGAATCAATTAATCGTAACTCCTATCATGCGATGTACAATTTATTTCAGTTTTATTTTCTGAATATTCTTTGTATGACAGTGAAATCTACTTAAAGTCCATTTATTTCTCATTGTTCACACCGAAAATTAATCACGGCTTAGTTTGACTTTTGCAAGAGTGATTTAACAATGTTAAAGCTTGTAACCTTCTAACTTTTAACAGCATCGCCTCAGGAATTAATAATTTGAGCACGAATTAAGGGCTAAAACAAAACACATTGCTTAAGGTAAACGTAAAGTCTTCCAATACAATTTTATTCGAATGTAAAAAAATGTTTAGGGAAATAGTTTTTTAAACTTATTCCAAACAATATTTAACCTAGTATCATACAATTTCTTATTTCAAGAATTTTTTTGTATTGTACGTATAAATTTTTGTTATAAGAGTAAATAAATGTTGTCAACATTCGTATATATTTACATATATTTTTATTATATATATATTATTTACATATATTTTTGTTTGCTGATATTTCTGTATTAACGAAGCAACAAACAACATACGCTTAATATGCTGGTTGTAAATAAATTAGTTGTAATAGTTGTAATAGTGTGTAACCTGAATTGTTTGTCCGGGGTTAAATACGTAAATGTTACTAACCATGTCTGTGGAAGTTAAGTTTGGCGTTATGTAATTATTATAACGTAGTTTGTCGAACATCAAAGCCTTTTTCGTCCAATAATAGTGGCCTAAGTGTTTATGAGGGTGATGTTATGCAAACTTACTACTTCTTCTTTTTATACCAGTCAAGATTTAAATACTACACATGGAATATAACCAATATTACGGATATTATTACGTTTAATATTAACTTTTTGATTTCCGACGTTTCGGGTGCTATACAGCACCCGTGACAATGGGCGGGGGATGGGTGGCTCACGTGTTTGACGTTCTGATGTCATATTCAACAAAGGCTACTTTCAACTTTTAATTACCCATTTTTGTTCCGATCTACGCAGAACATGCTTACAGTATCTTGAAGTCTTGGGGTAGTATGCTCGAGTTTGGATTTAATTTTATTTATTATAGGATCCCAATCAGATTGCACCACCCATCTACTCTATTGAAATTAGGGTGTTTTTTTTTAATTTCAATAGTCTCGCGAATCAACCTTGATCGTGACATGACTTAGGTGCCTTTAAGAAAAGAACTTACTCTTTTTTGAAAGGCCGGCAACGCATCTGCAATTCCCCTGGTGTTGCCGTTGTTCATGGGCGGCGGTAGTCACTTACCATCAGGTGAGCCCCATGCTCGTTTGCTCCGACTCCCTCCTCCTCTCCTATATAAAAAAATTAATATTTTATCATTTGTGCAAGACTCAATTATTAGAAGCGTTAGAAAGATTTCTA